AGGGAGAGAGAGAGAGAGAGGAGGGAGGGGTGAGAGAGGAGAGAGAGAGAGAGGGGAGGGAGAGGTGAATGAGAGAGAGAGAGCAGAGAACGAGGAGAGATAAAAGACATAGATAGAGAGATAAAAACCCTAAAATTTTATATCTCCCAGATTGATTTGATGTATTCCATTCTAGTATTTTCTTAACAAGAGTGATTTTTTGTTTTGTTTTGTTTGTCCGTTTTAAACCGTGCATAAGACGGATTTGATATATTTTCATAAATTTTCAAAGACTGATTTTTTTTAGAAATCATATAATCTTACGAATAAAAAAATGACAAAATGATTTTTTCTTTCTTTTTTTATCATAGATTCTCTCCAATAATACTATCTGTATGTCTCCTTATCTCCTTTGTAATACTAAATGTTTTATTATATTGTCTCTTAAATAAGACCGACAACACCATTTCATTTCAACATTACTTCCCTTGTAATATTTTCTTATTCTATTAATCCCTCTCTAAAGAAATTATTTATTTATCTATTCATCTATTTCTACCTCACTTGTAAGAATACTCGACAAATATACACTTTCTGCTTCTCCGTTTCCACACATTCCCAAGTGAAAAAAATAAAACTTCTTATATGAAAAACAAACAAACACGGTAAATATCCATCCATCTTTACCCTCCTCCCGAAGGCGCTGTAGCAGGAATAAAAAAAAACAAAAACAAAACAACGCCGACCTACACGTAAATATCCATCCATCTTTACCCTCCTCCCGAAGGCTCTGTCGCAGGCGCTGAAGGAGTTATCTGGACGTCGGGCTTCCTCGTCCCTGGCAAGACCGACGGGCAGCTGCAGATGTACGACACGACGAAGGACCCCGTCGATGGGCCTACAACATCGCCAGGATGATAATGTGAGGAGAAAGGTGGGGGAGAGGAGGAGAGAGGGAAGGAGGGAGGGAGGGGAGAGGAAGGGAAGGGAGGGGAGGGGGGAGGGAGGGGGGAGAGGGGATTAGAGAGGGTGGGGGAGAGAGGGGGGAAGAGGGAGGAGGGGGGGGAGGGGGGAGAGGAGGGGGAGGAGGGAGGAGGGGGAGGAGTGGGGGAGAGGAGGGAGGAAGAGGATGAGAGGGAGGGAGGGAAGAGAGAGAGAGAGAGAGAGAGAGAGAGAGAGAGAGAGAGAGAGAGAGGGAGGGGAGGGAGGGAGGGGAGGGAGAGAGGGAGAGAGAAGAGAGAGAGAGAGAGAGGAGAGAGAGAGACCAGGAGAGGGGAAGGAAAGGATTGGGTGGGGCAGAGAAGAGAGAGAGACAGAGAGAAGAAGAGCAGAGGAGAGAGAGACGCAGGAGAGAGTAATATAGATAGAGTTACAACTAAATTATGATATATATCTGAACTCTTCGGCATAAAGTTAAGACAGATAAATAAACATGCTCAGCAGTCATCAAGCGGCAATGGGGCGAAGGTAGAGAGGAGAATGAGATGGGCGGTACGGGAATCACAGCTTCCGNCTGTAACAAACAGGATTAACTTGCCAGGGTAAACTCTATGAATCCTTGATAAAAGTTTGAAAGAAGAAGAAGAAAATAGATAAATAGATAGAGAGTAATATGATAAAATCATGCTAAAAAACAAAAGAAGAAAAAAGGAAAAAAAAACTTGATAAGATGGAAAAAGAAGAAAAACAAATAATTATTAAAACGATAAGATTATGAAAAAAGAGAGAGAAAAAAAAAAGAAAATAAAGTAGAGATAGACAGAAAATAGACAGTTGTAATATTTGTTATCATGATATTGCTAATATTTACTGGTACTATTGCCATAGGGAAAATAACAAAAATTACCAAATGAGTTATGGTTAAAATAATGATAGAGAATTATGATGTTAGATTTGTTAATGATATAGACAAATAATGATAAAAGTATGTGAATGTCCTTTATAAAAATGATAAAAGATGGGTCTTATATTCCTACGCGCACATGAAAAACAACAACAGCAACAACAACAAAACAAAACATACCATTAATAATGCGTTGGATTTTCTCTCCGTCTTTTCCTCTTTCTTTCATCCTAATTCACTTTCCTCTTTCTCTCTCTCTTTTCCTCTCCATCTCTCTCTCTCTCTCACTTTCTCTCTCTCTCTCTCTCTCTCTCTCTCTCTCTCTCTCTCTCTCTCTCTCTTCTCTCTCCTCTCTCTCTCTCTCTCTCTCTTCTCCATTTCTTTCCTTTTCTCTTAAACCTTTCCATGTCTTACCTGTCTGTCTATTTCTTTCTCTCTCCTCTCTTCATCTCTTTCGGTCTTTTTCTTAATATTCGTGTTCTCTGCGTTCCTTCCTCTCTGCTCTCTTCCTCCTCCTTCTCTTCTTTCTCTTAAACTTCTTTCTCTCTACGTTCCTCTCTCTCTCTCTCTCTATCTATCTCTTCCTCTCCCTTCTCTCTCTCCAACCCACTTCATCCTCCCCCCTCTCCTTCTCCTTTTCCCTCTCCCACCACCAATATCTCCTCCTCCTCCTCCTCC